TAAGTTCCCCTTCACAAAATGCAAGTTCCATGAGGGACTACTTGTTGTTTGATTAAAGGATATATCCCCAGCACACGGAATAAGGCCTGGTTTCCAGCAGCACTTAGGAACATCTGTTGAATAAATTCATATAGGAATTTTCAAAAGCGATGCCCTTAGAACTTCACCACGGGAGGAGCTGTGATTCCTCTATTAAATATTAATAAGTACCTGTGGCAAACGATCATGTTTCCTGTAATTGTTTTTAATCAATGTTCTCCGTGGAACTTACCCTTAATGTAATATGAGAAACTGTAGTTCAAAAGAAAACTTGAAATATATCATTCAGTTTTTAACCCTGATTTTTTAATTTGTAAAAAACAAACAGAAATACTTGACATAAATAAATATAAATAAAGCATGTGGGGGAATGCTTTCATCTACTAAATGCTGTGGCATTTTGATGAATGATCAGAAGTACTGAGTTAAAGAAAATGATAGCAATGAATGAACCCCAAATAGAAAGTTTAAAACTAGTTTATTAGCAGGTAGGTGAGAGCCTAACTGATAGTCACTCAATTCTTAGAATAAGGCTTAATCCACAGGCTGACAGACACATTAGCATAACCAGATAACTGTCTAGTAGCTAATAAAACAATTACAGTAAAAACTAATAATTCCTATCTATTACTTACATGATAAATACGTTCACATTTGCTAGAACTCCCAGCACACTACTAACTGTACCAGGAGGACCTCCAAAATTAAATCTAAGGAAAAGTAGCACCAACTAAGAATTGCATAGATAACTGCACTGAGCAGTTTTTCAAAATGTGTCTTTGTAATACAGCTAGTAATATTATTTTCCTAGCATATAAGTAAAAAGCTGTACTTATAAAGTAAATCCCACCTTTCAGAAAGTGTGTTAAAATATTCAAAACACACGCAGTGGTATGAGCATATATCCCCAAACGGATTTATGTTTCACTCATATGTGACTGAGGCAGAATATGAGTGATGCCACAATTCAGTCAATTTCAAATAAATGAATGAAAACCACTAATGGTATTTATATGAACAGTGATTACTAATAATTTAATATTGATATACTCAATAGCTCAAAGAAAATATAAACAAACATTGCAAGTTCAAAACTAATAAACACTTATTAAATGTAAGTATAAAACACTCACTAAAAGAAGAACCTTTTTAAAAATATTAATACTTTTGCCTAAAATAGCAAAGTAGAGACCCTGCGACTGTTCTACATTCAGGCACACATTGAAAGAAAATGTATACACAGTCAATTAGTCACATTGAAAAAGACAGGTCTTCTGCAGAATATCACAAGGAAGTTAAAAGAGGTTGTCTATGAGGATGTCAAGTTAATAATAAAAATACCTGAATTTTCTCAGTGTTAGAATATAAAATCTACACTGCAGCATTTTGGCCACTCATTCCCAATTATTTAAAATAAAATGTTACTTGCAGTAGTTCAAACTATAAAATATAGAGAAATATCATATGCGCTATGTTGAAGCATCTATTTATATAGTTGAGGTAATCAGAACAATATTTCCTACCTCTTAATGCAATCTTAGAAGTGGCAACATTAATACTTGACTGTATCTATTCATCTTCTGTCCTGTTTTAATAATACGAGTGACACCTAAGAAATTATTCTTTGATCTTTCAATAAACTAAGCCTGTGCTGACAGGGGAAGGTGAAAGAGGTTAAATTGGCATTGATTATTTAAGACACATTCATCATTTATTTAACAAGTCTCCTTCATCACAAGAACTATTGTGTTTATAGGCCTTCGCTGAGACATTCCAAATTTATTTTTAAATAATTCTTGCATGTGCACTACAAATCAGAGCCCATTGTACATTAACATTAGTTTCAAGTCTCCTGATAAATCTGTTACAGGATAAAGTAGTTTATTCGACACACCTTTGAACTTACTCACTGTAGTGGATTGTAAATTTTTCTTTCAGTAATTTTCATTATATGAATGTCTCACGGGGGGATGCTTTATCTTATCTTAAGTCAAATGTGTAGCAACAGCTATCTTCCCAAGAAAATAATATTAATGCATACTTGTATCTCTTACATTCTAACATCCCTATCACTGAAACATGATTTGTAATAATCAATAAAGAAAAATTTGCTGCCTAATATTTGGCAGCTTTAGAAAGGAAGAAGATAGCATAGAAATCATCCATAAAATGCAAGATTTCTACAAGATTTTTCATTATTTTTTCTGACAAATATTATTGCAAATTATAAAGAAGTTTAATATTCTATGTAAATATGTACATCAAATTTGTGAAAAATTAAATAATGTCAAACTATATTTCCTGAGAAGATACAAGTAAAGTATTATAAATGAAAAGATAAATGATTCTTATTTCATAAGAATATGAAAAAATATTTATAAATAGATACTGAGAAGTATAGAAAATATATCCTAGTCATGGAAAATTACACTACTGATGAATCACATATTTCAAATAGTCACACAATTTATCACTTTTTAAATGGTTTACTTATTTCTAATTTATATAAATATTTTGATATCCAGATTTTTCCATACAAAATGCTCAAGTTCATCACTACAGTTATTTCTAATTACTAGCATAAAGTTCTATATAAATATATTTGGTAATGAATTTGCTGATTCTGATGATTGTATCTTAAAATACATCACTAAGAAATGAGAACATGGACTGTTTAGAAAAGATTGTTATTCCGTGTTTACACCTAACACAATAATAACAGACACTTATACAGGGGGATCCTTGAAGGGCACACTACCAAGAAATTATTATTCTTTAACATAATTCAATCCAGTACAATACATTAAGCTCCCACTGTCAGATATGAAAAAATGCTAGTAATAATGAGTATTTAACAATGAGGATTTACTAATAAGGATTAACTATGTTCATGGCTTTATTTTAGATTTTTAGTTAGCACTAATATAAAAAGTTACGTGGGAACAGGAAAACCATGCAGGAGGGGGTTAGCTTAGTCAGCACCGCCCCACCCCCCCACCCCACCCCCCACCCCCCGCCCGCAGCGGCTGTTCACTTAGCAACCTCTCCCATTTGCGGTCTTAACAGCGCTGAGGGTCTCTTACACTCTGCATCTATATTCAGGCATTTGGACATTTAGAATTCAGTTTCTCAAATATAATTTTCTTATATGGGGTAAAATGAAATATTTGCCTAAATTCAAAACTGTTTTCACCATTTATAAGAATAAGTTACTTTTTTGTGGGAGTTTGTTCCTTCTTTTTCCACTCAGTCTATTTTTTTGCTCAATATATTACATTTTAATAAAAAACTAGACCTTTGCCACTTTTTTAGTTTTTAAAAGAAAAAAAATTCCCTTCAGTTGGACAAAAATAAAACTGCAGCTCATGTATGGTGCTTGTAATAAGACTAATAATTTTAATCAGCTTAAAAACTCACTACTTGTAATGAAAGACTAGACTTTTACCACTGCCATAAAAATCATGTGGTAGAGAACAAGTGACTTCACTTCTCTGGAACTCAGTTAAGTTAAACTGAGAGTTCTGAAGTAGGAAGGTTCTACATTAACTTGTTTTCCTGTGTTATATAATGGTGTTACATTGGAATAAGATTTCATGGAGACTCTGGATTTCTTACTGATTGAATAACTCTCTGACTTCAAAATTTAAAAATGCATAGGTTATTATTTATAAAATGCATATTGGGTTTATACCCTAGAAAAATGAAATACAAATAATATGTATTAAATTTTTAATAGAAAAAACACCTCCAAAAGTATTAACATTATGGTAAATCCTCTTTGAACTTAATTAAAAATAATTTATTTCTTAAAATATGAAATATTAACATCATTTAAATAACACATAACATGGGTAGTCAATAAGTATTATGTCACAATATTGATATCTAGAAGATTTAGGTATCTAGAAAACATTAAAATAAATGTAACAAAAATGTAATAAAAAGCACAGATTTTAATGTTTTTTAAACTAAAAAAATACTGGATGTAAATATTGAAAAACAATTTGCACTGCAATTAAAAACGTTGGTTTATTTCCCAATAGAGACCAGATTTATATTAAATATATTAATTTTCTTTGCAAGGAAACACAAAAGTAATATTCATACTTATGTTTATTATAATGAAGACATGAAAATAAACACATCTTTCATTACACACATTCATAAAACAACTTAAATTATCTTTATTCTATTTATATTTGTCAATAAAGTACTAAAAATTATATAATAAATGTTTTCAAATAGGAGAGTTCTCAAAGATGTTACCTACAAGATAAAGACAATAATTCCTCTACTTTTCATAACAATGAAGTTTAGTCATAAACTTAGGCAAAATGAAAATTTTTTACCTGAATTTAAGGAAGGACAGGTATTTGAATCAAAGCTATCCAAAATTATCTAGTGTTACTAGAAGCAACCTTGTATTCAAATATGTTTTACAATCTTATTTTGACAGTCCAGTATTTCACACTAAGAAAAAAACACTAACTTTCAATTAAATTATTTTCTGCAGCCTGCACCAAAGCCCAAGAGCTAAAATATTATTATAAATTTCTCTGTTAAGTTGTTTCCTTTATGTGCCAGATTGTAAAAATGACGTGCTTGGCTTTGGTGACTGAAAACTTTATTAAGCTGTTAATAAATAAATTAGTACTTTCTTTGAAACAAATTATCCTACTATTATAATATGTATCATCCACATGTCTGCAAATACACTAATTCAAAAGACTGTATTAGTGATGTTAGTATAAAAAAATAAGACATTGATATGCTAGTCAGTAGCTGTAATTATCTTTTCCAATTCCAGAAGGTATTTGGGGATTATTTAAGAGCAAAAGATGAATGGCGCACTGTTAAATTCTACTAAATCAATGCATAGACACAGTAGCAGCAGAGGCAAATAAGCTGTGGAAGTCTGAATACCAATAAAAAAGATAAAATGGTTTTATATACCTACTTACATCATAGCCTAGAACTTCAGTCTGTGTGGATTTATCTACTCTTGAAGCAAAAGCCTTCTGCAAGTGCTTTACTTTTTCCTGCAAAATGAAGACCAACAAACAAAAAAACACATTGTTAGTGAGTCATCTCTTCTATACTAATATTCCCCATTTAAGATTTGATTAGTGTACAACTCATTATACTATTGTATGCATCCTTTTCTCTGCTGGTTCTTTGCATATCAGCTTAAATATTCAGAACTTTAATTTTCAAGTCATAACTAACCCACCTTTGCAATCCTTTCTTTTGATACAAACACCATTGAGTCAGAACCACAGCTGAATCCTAGAGACACATGGTTTACTTAAATCCAAGACCATGATTCTGATTAGTTGTGTTCTATAGAATTTTACTACTCTTGTTTCAGAGCATTTACATTTAAGCCCCAAGGTATTTTCAACAAATACCACCCAGAGAATTTTATTTAGTAGTTTTTTTTTTCTTCTTAATTCTCTCCTGGAATCTCACATTTAGGAATCTCCACTTCAAAGAGTTTGACAGTAATCCAATCATTTTACAGCTACGTAAGGGAAGTAATGCATGAAGGAAGTTAGAGATTTCATATTTCAAATGCATTACTTCCCTTACCTAGTTATAAAATAATATGTATTAAAAATTTTAAACAGGAATAACCTCTTCCCCATAACATTAATATTGAAATACTTATGATAAATCTTTGAACTTAATAAAATTATTTCTCATTCTTAAATGTTTCACTTAAAATGAAAGGGGATCTTGAACTTAAATATTAGGTCATGTTTCCACTGTGCGCTGGGCACGGCCAGGAGTGCTGTGCTCCCACGACCACATTGCGTCTACGGATTTTTACCACTGTCACCGCCATTTTCAAGGACAGCAACATGGTTTAGAGAATTTAACTTGAGAAAGTTTCCATAGAAGTCCATATCATTCCATTAGACTCTTTTTTTCCCCTTAACTTACTTTAAAGAATAATTTCTCCTGCTTTCTTTTATATGCTTAACAAAATAGTTGTATAATATCTTCATGGGGAAAAAAGCGATTTAATTTATCTTTTCCTAGGAAAAATAGTGCTCATCAAGAATCTTACTATCAAGAACTCCAATTACACAAAACTTATTTTTCTCTTTCCCTCCCCCCTTCCTCCACCTTCCCTCACCATCCGGCTGCATTTCCCTCAAATCCGCCAGAGTTGCATTATCTGAGTTGTTTAACAAAGTAACTACATAATTTCCATAAACATAATTTATTTTGAATTATTAAAATATAGAAAATGCTTCCTATACCATTAATGTCTCATACCTACTATCTTTCCTATCACAAATTTCTTGTGCTGCTATTCAGACAAAAATGAAACAGGTATTAGATAACACCCAGGAAGATGTATGTGAGTGAGGAAAGGTGTTAATTGTTTGGAAAGGATTAGTGAAAATATGGTGCATTTTCCAAACTAAATTAAAGTGAGACATAAGTTGTCTATTTAGACTGGGGGTAGGGAAGGAAAAGAGAGACCTATCCATAGTAAGAGTTAAAGGAAACAATAACATTAGATATCTTTCAAGGGTTGTTTAGAAAACTTCATTTACTTTTGAAATAAGCTGGAGTATTAAGTTTCAGAAAAGTAATGAGCTTTGCTGCAAATCTGTAGGTATATATGCATAAACGTATGTGTATGAATTAGAGATCATGACCCAAAAGGGAGGGAAGAACAGAGAGCAAATGCTTCCTTCATGCTTCAGCCCACATTGACAGTTCATAATAAACTTCTATAACATAGAATTAAAATATTAAATAAAAACTATATATAGCTATTGGTAGAGAATTATCTAGGGGTCTCTTGCATTTCTGTTAAATGGATATCTATGGATTGATAAATGTAATATGTAATAAGGAATATTATAGATAATCAAATAGAAAATACACCATAAAAATAGTAGCTATGACTGACTGGTGGGATTGTCAATAATTTTTATTTCTTATGTAAGAAATGAATATACTTTTAAATATTGCTTTATAAATAAGGCTATAAAATATTTTAACAAATTACAACAAAATTATTTATCATACTTCATTTCGCCTTACATATAAGAAAGACAACAAAAAAGGAAGCAACACAAAGGAGAAGAGAAACAGTTGAAGTAGATCGATCTTAATTTTTCTTGACCACTAATTAATTTACAAGGTGATTTCATGTGGCGGTCTGCCAGTGTTGTTTAATGTAAGAAAACAGTATAACTCCTTCGTCTAATCTCTTGCAGAGGAATAGGGTAGAACTGAAACAACTCAACATCCGGTAGGTACATTTGATAAGTAAATTTACAGCTTGGATAAAATATCTCATTGTCTTTAAGTTTCCTTTCCACACGGTGAAAGTATCAATATTTGACAAAGCATTCCTTTTTTCCCCTCATTTAAAATTAATAAAACATATGTGTGCTTAGCATAAGCATGAAATCATTTTGATAGTGATGATGTGATCAATTAAGCATAGAAATATAAAAATATATTCTGCTTAAACTGTTAGAATTGTTTATTCTTATCTTAGACTATATTTTTGTTTATTTACATACTAGATAAGCTCTTAAGTAACAAAAACAGTTATGAACAATATTTAAAATTCCAGCATTTTATTAAACATGATTTGTTTTTATTTTAGATATTCACATGTATTATCATCTACTAGAGCTGTTTAAAAATTTATGCATGGTTAACTAAGTGCAGTAAACCAAGCTGAAAGGAAAATAATCAGTAATCCCAACATATAACTCCAGTTTACCTTAAATAACTATTTTAATTACCTACACAGAAGTTACGAAATTCACCTACAAGATGAAAAGGAGATGAATTTTAAAAACTAGAACTTGAGGGCCTACTTGCAAGAGTTAGCTATAGAAACTATAATAAAATAAAACGCACTCTTATGAATTAATAAAATTAACAGGAATCTGATACAGGGAACATATGTAATAGTGATTACAACACTACTATATGAAAACATGCAAGTAGATTGAGGCTTAAAGGAAAGAAAAACAAAAGCATTTGGGTTGTTATCCAAAACACACAAAAGACAGTTGTGCAAAAAAGGAGGTTTAAATTAGAAAAAGAGGACTATCTTATAAATGTAAAAATAACACAAAGTTAAAATAGTATCATTGTAAATTCAGGTCCTAAATCATGAATCTAATGGTTATGTTTATGGAAAGAAAGATAGTATTGAAAGACGAACACTCTGAAAGAGGAGAGGAGCTAACTTTAAAAATGAAAAAGTAATGTAATTCAACATGAGAGAATTCACAAAGTGTTCTGAGTCATCATTTAAACTAAAAAATTGGTGGCTCATAAAGATTTTGAGCACAAGAAACTTTAATGTCAATAGTAAAGGATTACTTAAAAACAGAAGAAAAAACTAAAGGGAAAATAACTGGGATGGCTTAATGACATGGAGTCCAAGGAAGAGCTCGGGAATGAAAAGGCAGTAGCACAGTGATCACAGCACTTCCTCCTGCCTTACCGAGCGTAGAGCACTGAAGACCCCAGAAGAGTTATAAACAAGAGCAACAGCAACCAAGCAAATCAAAACTCCTTGCATACGCCATAAAGTTTCTTGCATATTAAAATGGATTAATGCTATTTTCTTAATTTTTTGTTATGGAAAATTGCTAACATAAAACAAAAAATATAGGGAGAATAATACAAAGAATAGTGCACTATTCACTCAGTTTCAACAATGTTTATTGGAATTTAAGTAAGAAGTGTTAGTATTAGCTATATACTCAAATAACTCCACTGGTCAGCATGGTGCTTTATTCTAGGTAACAAATGTTTGCAGTGGAGGACCTGGCTCTGAAGAAATTGTCGGTAAATCAATAAAACAAGCATCTAGATAACTTATCTCCATATAAACTACTATGTCTGAATTAGGAATGTGCCTGGCATCTTCTACAGCCCACTGCTTTTAGACAGGACTGGAGATGATTTTTTTCAAGAAAAAAAAGAGGACATATAATTATACACCACAGGTTAAATTAATGAAACTCATTATTCATAAGAGATTGTAGAAACTGAAAATATATGTGTTTTTTAAGAAGAGCTTATATCACTTCATTTAAAAAAGAAATAAATTAAAATGTAAATTAGGATTTTTTTCTATTTTTTTCAGATTGAAGTCATTGGAGATAATTATACCCAGATAACTGAATGCCAATATTCTAAATGTAAGACATGAACTCTTTTCTCCAACAGTAATTGAATGATGTGTTCCATTTCAATTCTAACATTACTGTTCTGGATTCCCAATGTTTTTCCCAAAGAGCACATTGTACTATGTATAAATAGCTCTAATCATATATATTTGATTTCTTTAGTGCTATGACAGAATAATTCATTTTCTCTAATTTAATACTCTTTCAGCAAGGTAAAGCTAATTAAGAAAGCCCCCATAAAGAGGGACACGAAAGAGATGTCTCTGAGATACAGCCTTTAGAAGCCAGGAATATGAATTCCCTGAGTTAAAAGAGTAAGTGTTTAGTGACTGATCAGGAAAAGCATGACAGAAGCTGTAACTGAGAAATGTCACCCATCACCTCTTAAGTTATATGATGTCTAATGACTATGCTGTATGCCTGAAACTACTATAATTACTGTAAGTCAACATATTGGAAAATAAATTAAAAATTTAAAGAAGAGAAAAACATCACCCCTATTTTGGGGTCTGGCTTCTCCACAATTCAAGTCATCTTTTAACTATATTTCCAATTTATTTCACAACCACTTCTTCCTTTTGTAACTACTGCCACTACCCTGGGTGCAATACCAATGGGCGAACAGGGAAACAGAGCTTAAACTCGCGCTGCGTGTGTGCAAGCCACCACCAGCTTTCGCTCCAGTAGCCTCTGTACTGGGCAAAATCACATCCCTTTTAAATTCTTATCTAACTGGAACTTAGCAATGTGACCTTATTAAGAAATAGGATTTGCAACTGTAATCAAGTTAAGATGTGGTTATGCTGGCTTAGAATAAATCATAAATCTAATATAAATGCTGCCCGTAAAAGAAGAGG